CTATTTAGATATATACTCTTTGGATGTATATGTTTTCCAATCATCATAAATTGGATACATCTATTAATGGACAGGAAAACAACAATGATTAATTGTCACTTTACAAGAACAAGTTTTTGTAATATATAATGATTAGTTTTTTTCCATTTAAATTTATTTCTCTCAATAATGGAGTCATTTGATAAGATTTAATGGCGTGATATAATAAGTCATCACATAATACGGAGTATAAGCTTGGGGTTTTCTCAACTATACCCATAATAAAGACAATTAATAAGTGTTAATTAAATTTCGATAATGATAGTAAATGCATCATATTTTAGTGATATGTATGTATCCATTTCTTAAATCATCTTTTGTGTGCGAAATGAAAGCACTTTAATATAACTAATCTTTATCATGTGCCATGAGCAAACATCAGATCACAAATTAAAACTCCTATAAATTAATGTGGTGACCTTAATTAGGTCCATAATAATCATACAAGATTAATAATAAAATCTTAATAGGAGTGGTGGATTTATGTTTTTGTGATGTCAAAAGTTATGAATGTTGTGTTATATCATACAAATACACTTTCATTAATAGTGTTAATTATTTTAAAATAATCAAAATTAGCTAGGGCTACTTGTAATTTCGAAAAACAGTTTCTAAAACTAAAAACTACCTACAATTATTATTTCTAAAATCTTGATGGATGAATTATTTGATTTCTTTGGATAGATCATACATCTCGTGGGTAGCTTGAAAGTTTGTACAATGGTAGACCTAAATCTCTTCCCTGCTGGAGAGTATCATAAATATCAGCGTGTTCTTTTGATATTTAAGTCCCACCCCACCCCACCCCACCCCACCCCTTACCCCATGCCTACCCTACCCCTTTCGTTTGTAAATAATGGAGTAATTCCTTAAAGTTCACATGACACATGATATGGATGGTACCCACATATACATGATTACTTGTTAAAGAAGAAGAGGGCCACTTATATATGAATCCTTCATAAGTACATACATACATACACATACATATACATATACATATACATATACATATACATATACATATATATACACATATATATATATATATACACATATATATACATATATACACATATATACACATATATATACATATATATATATATATACATATATATACATATATATATATATATACATATATATATATATATATAGCATCTAGTGTCAAAATGGCTAAATATCTCCTAAATGAGAGATACACACCAAACCCCCTTTAACTGTCCTATGCTATTCGTAGCTATCTAGCTAGTACTGTCTATTAACTGATTAAGATATACTCCTTCCGGTCCTTAATGAAATTTAACTTTAACTTCACACATATTAAAGAAATAAATTTGACTTTACTGTAGATTACACTGTTTGACACTGTTTGACAATGTTTGACACTGTTTGGCATTGTTTAACACTGTTTAGTGAAGATTTGTTTGTCAAATAAGGCAAATAAGGAAGTGTAAAGTTTAATATGGAACGATCCAAAAAAGAAAATGTAAAGTTAATTAAGGGCCGTAGAGAGTATAAACTTGCATATTCAGATCCACATAATTTAAAGAAATTAAATCATTTCTAGTCAAAACTCTTTTTTGATATAGTATGTCTTATTTTATGTTTCTTGTTTTGCATTGACATAATTATTAACAAAGTGATTGAAAAACTAAAATTAGATAAAAAGCAAGCCTTTACACAACAACAAAGTAGTCCCGATTGGTGCGGTTTGTGCGTGTTGTACTCCACGTCAAGGGTTCGAAACCCTTGACGTGGCTGAAGGCTCCAGGTTTGTTCTAATTTCGGGGTTTCCAGGTTTTTCAGCTGTCCGGGTTCGTCCCGGATTTGGCCGAGCTACCGGTTATTTCCGGTTTTACACCCATTAAAGGGTATGCACTCAACTAGACCGATTTCTAGGTCGGGTGGACGGTTTCCATGTTGAACCGCCTGGTCCGGCCCGGTTCTCATAACCTAGGAGAGAAAGTGGAAAAGTGTGAAATAGAAGATAAAGAGTAGAAAATGTAAGCATAATTGAGTATTTTTAAAGAAAAAAATTACCAAAAAAAGAGAAAGTTTAGCAAACTTTTAAATACATCCAAACCTTAAAATAAGGAGGGACAATGTATTGTTATATGAAAGCATACCACATGGGATTATCATAAAAATGTATGTACGGAATATCAAAATATTGGCTTAGCTATGGCTATATATTTTTATTGAAAAGAAACATTCACCAAAGTCTTGGAAGTTGGAAGTTAAATTTATTTACCAGTTTTTACTTGGACCATAATTTGCTGGTCTGGTCTGGTCTGGTTTCTTTGTATTTTTATAACTATCTAAATCTGGTCTGATCTGGTCTGGTCTGATCCGATCTGATCTGGTCTGACTGCAGGGGCGGACCCACCCTAGGGCTAGGGGGTGCTCGTGCCCCTGCGGTGATTTATATATATATATATATATATATATATATATATATATATATATATATTGGAAATTCTCAGGTCCAACACCTCCTGGTCCGAACGCCGTCCGAACACCGCCGTTTGGAGCGTATCCAGGTGGATTTTTTTGGTGAAAGTTTTTGAGCATGTTCCTTATCAAGTCTAGTTTATCTATACCAAAGTTTAGGTCAAAATTCGACCCGGAAGAAAGTCAAATAATTCGTTGAAGTTAACTGTGTTTTTCTATGTATAATTTGGCGCAGTTAACTTCAACGAATTATTTGACTTCCTTCCCGATCGAATTTTGAGCTGAAGTTTGGTATGGATAAACTAGACTTGATGAGGAACATGCTCAAAATTTTTCATCAAAATATTCCGCCGGGAACCGCCCCAAACGCCGGTGTACGGACGGCGTTCGGACAAAAAAGTGTTGGACATAAAAGTTATGCCGATTGAGACTTATGATGTTAATATTAGAGATGAGTTGAGGAGATGTTATTTGAGAAAAGTTCCTTGCCAACCGCGTGACTTTAAATTTCCACAAAGTGGTTTTAATGGGTGCAACAGATCATTCCAAAAATAGTGGTTTTATTTAAATTTTATAGTTTTGTTTATTGCTATACTCGTGATGCATATGATTTTTTTCTAGACTAGTATATCATTTCTTTGTTATTGTGCTCCTACGAGTCACGAGTCCTGGTTCCGCCACTGTCTGACTGGTCTAGTCTGGTCTGGAATTACATCTCAAGTAGTCAATTGGACTAAAGTTTGAACCACCTTCGGCAGACTTGTCTCCAAATTACCTGACCACGACCAGATTCGTCTTATTCAGGGGCATAAGGGTAAAGAATAAACCATTTAGAATAAATATAAATACTCCGTATAAACATACGAATACTATTTTTATACGGAGTAGTGTTTTTTTACGACGAAACTTCCAACACCGACATACATCAAAATCGACAGAACCTTTTCGATTTGAATGAGATTCAGAAACGGAAAGAACTGCGTATACTGTTCGATTCACTATTTGAATGAGATTCAGAAACGGAAAGAACTGCGTATACTGTTCGATTCCAACAAGTGGACTATATACGTAGTATGTCCAATTTTAGATGAAGTTCAAAGTCGGACGAACAAATCTGGAACTATGGCAGGTTGTTGACTGATGAGACTATAAAGATTGTAAACAACATTGACTAATGTGTAATACACATGGACCCGGTCCGGTCCCAGTTCTGGGCTGACACCGGTCAGTCCTTGTCAAAGTAAAGGAAGGCTCGGGACCGGCCCGCTAGATAGCAATCCCATACCTGGTCGGCTTGACCGGCCAGCCCGGTCGACCATTCCCGACCTGGGCCTCGATCTATGTTTTTTCAAATTGTTCAGCCGTTGGGGACCTGTAGAGTAGACCCGAGACAGGGTAACATAGCATGAGGGAGAGGGGCATGTCCTGGACCGGAATCGAAAAACCAATTTTGGGTTGGTCCCAAAAAATATTGGGCAGATTTTGGCCCGATCGGAATTGGCGGGCCAGGTCTACCCCTAGTGGGTAATGGTAAAGTAACTATTATTAAAATATTTGTCTCACATCGAAAAGTTATAAAAACAATAAAAAAAAAATTATAAGACTTTGGCTACTCCTATCGGGTGACCTTTTAGGATGAAACTTAAATCTTAACATGGTATCAGAGTCAAGTCTAGATGTGATTTGACTGTTTATTTAGCATCCATGATTAAGGGTAGCTTTGTTAAGACTCTGTTTGCCCATTTATACACCTTAATATTGTCCAGTCTAGTTTGAGATGAGGGGACGTGTTAAAATGTTTGTCCCACTCGGAAAGCAATAAAAACAATACAATGGTAGATGGAACTTCATATCCTTAACAAATACTCCGTATATTTCTTGTATACCCAAAAATTAAAAGCTATTTCTTGTACTCCAATCGTATTTCTTGTACCCCAAAACTAAAAGCTATATTAAGGACTGCCCCTCTATATATGTTGAAAGGACAAGCCTTAGATTCCTTTGAGAATTATTGGTCATGATTCAACTTATTGTAAGGGTATAATTTAAAATGTGTAACTTGCTTTAATCTTAAGCGTAATTCTAACTCTTATAGTCAAGTAACAAGTAATGCGGATCCGGAACCTCTATCTTTCTTTAGAGCAAGGTAGAGTGTGTTGCTTCTAACGGGCCGTCTGATCGAAAAATCAAGGATCAAAGATGTTGGGGTCCACTCTTTCACCAATCTCGAGGCTGACTTGTCACTCTGCTGTCGTGAGATGTGCAAGGTATCTTGCCGTGCTGCAGAGGATCCTGATTCAAGTAATGCAGGACACCGTTTCAAATTAACCTTAGCACTCCAGGAACCAGAGACAAATACTCACACCGTTTTGACTTTTGAATGATCTTTTATGTTTTATTTTTAGAAAATGGTTCATAATGTCACACTTATGTATATCTGATAATTTGGACCTTATTTGTTTCTACATGTCAGGTATAGAAATTTGACAAGCCATTTCATGAAATTGCTATAGGAAATTTGACAATCCATTCAATAGAGCTGTTAATTAAGAGGCAATAGGAAAATGTAATCTATTTCATTAGGACAAAGTAAAAACAAAACAAAAAAGAACAAAAAAGCTAAAATTAATGGTATATGGTTTGTTGATCTCTGCCACCATTAATTTATACATATGGATAGGTCATATCCCGGACATCACACGGCATAAATGCCAGCATCATGAGAACGGCGAGAATGCAGATCGGAACGAGGAGGAGCATCAGCGGCGGCGGCGGCAGCGGCGGCAGGATCAACGGCAGAAGCAGCAGCGACGCCGTGAGGCAGAGGAGCAGAAGGAAAGATTCTACGCTGAAACCGCTGAGCTGGGTGAAGAACACCTTTTTCCCATTACTTCCCTTAGTAGAGACGACAGCTTTCTTTGCGGCGGCCGTCATATCCCCAAACTTGAAACTGTTCTTCCGGTAATAATGGCGGTTTTCGAGGTAATTAATGTAATTCCGGGAAGCTACTGCGGCGGCGGCGGCTTGCTCCTGGGTTGCTCTAATCATTCTTTAATTGATCAGTCCGATCGATCACAATCGCCCGGAAAATATCAGATTCTTGAGATAGAATAGATCTTGGATTTGAGGAAAGTTATAAATGAAGAAGATTAGATGGAGTAGAGGGGATGTATATGCTTGAGTTTTCAAATTGGTGCAAGCAAAGGTCGCTTTGTTTGAAAGTGGACACTACTTTTTTGGGAGAGGAAAATTGGGGTAGGTAGGTAAGGTACCTTTACACAAAGGGTGCCTTTTCTAAAAATGAATTTGGGTCACCTTTATATAGGCTATTGTGTCTTTCCTTTTTTTCTTTTTATGGTACAAGGGAGAAGTATAGTTGTTCTCTAGTTGTATGCAAATCTTGTAGTGCATGAAATCTTACGTGGGTAATGACATACTCCTAGGGTCCCCTACTCCCCCATTTTAAGTGATTTTTTTCTTTTTATTTATGTTCCTATTTGATTTTTTCTATATTAAAGAAAGTATTAGGAACAACCCGACCAATTGGACGGGTCGACCCGGAAAACAACGACCAATGGAGTGCATAGGCCATATGTGATATTTCATATGTTGGTCTTTATGCATAATTATAAGGGTGAGACAACGAAAAAAACTTATAATGCATTCATCTTCGCTAACCTTGTAACGATGTTGATTCCTACTACGGTGTGACTATTCATGCTACTGGAAATGGATCCAGTTTGACCATCCATCGAAAATCAATCACTAAATTTGCCAATTTATCTAGCCACCAATAAGGAGTCAAGTGTAGAAATCATTCTGGTTTCACCAGCCAACGGAAAAAGAGAAACTCATACAATCTCATCTTCCTGGATCGGTGGTCGTTGAGGAGGGGTGAGATCAACCTCTATTGATGAAGAAGTAAATACAAATCTCTTATTAACACACAAGAACACCCGACCTATAATGACGGGAAATATACATCTGACAAGCAATACTTAGCAATATTTCGCCAATGAAAATTTCATCTCTAGCAATGCTAGGAAATAAACATATAGGTAAAAGTGAAAATATTGATTAAACGAAATCGTTTTCATGATTAGAACAAAAAAGATTGAAAAGAAGAGAGGGGATGGCTAGACTTTTCCCACTGCAACCCTCTCTCTACGTATAGTTCTGTAAACCTCATAATTACTACTCCCTCCGTCCCCTTTTAAATGTCCCGGAGGAGGGTGACACGAGTTTTAAGAAAAGTAGGTTTGTGTGGTTGATATTAATAGATAAAGTAAGAATAAAGTAAGAATGATTTTGAGCCACAAACTTTACCAAATAAGGTATGTGACAATTAAATAGGGACATCCTAATATGGTAAAATAGGACATTTAAAAGGGAACGGGGGAGTACTTCATATCGTTATTATTGCATAATGCATAGCTTGTTCAGTTAAAACACTAATTTTAAGCATTACGGAGTAATCAATATATATATATAAATAAATAATATTGTTGTTTTTACTCTAGTACCGATTATGTATAAAAAAGTTCATTGTAACTAAAAAATTCTAATATGATGTTTTTAAGATTTTGTAATTACCGTAATTATTTTAATGCTTTTCAAAAAATTGTGATATTTTGTGTGTGTGATATACTCCCTCCGTTCCCATTTTATCTTCCATTTCCCATTGGCACACAATTTAAGAAAAGTAGGTATTGTGTGGTGGAGAGTTGTGCGGAAGAAAGAGAAATGTGTAAGAAATGTTGTGAACCACAAATTCATTACCAAAAAGAGAAAGTGGAAGTTTAATTGGAACGGATGAAAAAGGAAAGTTGGAAGATATAATAGGAACGGAGGGAGTACTTAAATGTTATTCCAAAAAAATAATCATGTCGAAACTATTTAAACAGTAATTAACTAAATAATCATTCATCATATTCTCAAGAATTTTGTATAACATACACTATTCCAACTACTTTTTATGAATTTGTTCTTCACTCCACCATACTATTCTACTATATTCTTTTAATCATGTTCTCAATACTTTCTCTCTTTTCACTATTTATAATTTCACCTACTTTTAAAATGAGAACATCTTTTTGTTAAGGAGGGAGCAAGTGTGAATAATTTAATGGAAAGAAGTAGGATTATATTTATAAAATAAATAAATAAATTATATGAAAAATAGAAAAAATCGTGCATCATCAATTTTTTGTCAATTCAACAAGAAAAATATTTTATTCTTTACTTAATTGGGAAAACTCCCAAAATACGAGTACAAATGTCTAGGAATTCTGAATAAGATAAATATGTTTTTATTCACTAAATATGAATAATTACTAATTACTGCGACACTTGGAAATTATTGTTATGTTTAAAGCTTTGTAATGCAAAACGTGACAGTCATTACTCATATTTAGCGAATAAAAACACAATAATTCCATTTTGTAATTTACAAATGTTTCACTCTTATCTAAGGTAATTTTTTTACTTATTTTGATTATTACATTATTTTTGACGCCTAATCAAAAGTTTCACACTCCTATTCTTTGATAAAATAGTGATTGATAAGATATGATAAGACGAAAATAGATACTCCCTCCGTCCCAATTTGATTTTCAAAATTTTCTATTTTGGTTGTCCCGAAATGGTTTTCCACTTTCTACTTTAGGTATGTAAATAAGAATAAAGTGACAAATTTACCCTTATTTTTACTTTTTCCCCATTAATTTAAAGACATCTACTTTTAGAAAGATGGTCAAAAGTGTAAAAAGCAAGAATCATTTATTATCATTCATTAATCCTTGTACCGGTCAAAATTTGTAATTAAATTCGGGAAGGAGGAAGTAGTACTAAATCATCTCTCTGTTCCTGTGTTCCACAGAATTATTGCGGTTTTAGTCTTCCATGTCCAGAATTTCAAAATGGGAGAACATTAACAATGTGTGCGGTCAATGGGCTAGTAGAAATAATAGCAAAGAGGAGACCAATATATTTGATTTGGCGTACATTGTTTTTGCAAGCCTTATGAAAGAAGTAATACTCACTAATACTCCATCCGTTCTTTAAAACTTTGTCAAGTTTGACCAACACATTGATTAATAAAGTAAAAATTGTGTGGTTGAGATTTGTATAGAGGAGACAGAATTAACAGAAATCTCAACCACAAATTTTTTACTTGGCTAAAGGGTCAAATAGGTACATGAACTAACTTAAAGTATTCAATTAGCCCCTTATATAGGAGGTTCTACTCGGCCGTCGTCAATTGGGGCGGTTCCCGGTGGAATGTTTTGATGAAATTTTTTGAGCATCTTCTTCATTAAGTCTAGTTGCCCATACCAAATTTTAGCTAAAATTTCAACCGGGAAGACAGTCAAATGATTTTTTGAAGATAACTGCGCAGTTAAACAGCGCAGTACATTGCGGAAAATCATTTGAATGCCTTCCCGATTTAATTTTTAGCTGAAATTTGATTTGAATAAACTAGACTTAATGAAGAAGATGCTCAAAAAATTTCATCAAAAAATTCCATCGGGGACCGCCCCGACTGGCGACGGCCGGACAGAACCTCCTAAATAAGGGGCTAATTGAACATTTTAAGTTAGTTCATGTACCCATTTGACCCTTTAGCCTTTTTACTTTATTGATTTATATGTCGGTCAAACTTTATTGATCTTCTTGTGTCCTTTAAAACTTTTCTAACTTTCATTTTTCGAATGTCCCACTAACTTCGTCAATTTGCAAAGTTTGATCGGCATAGAGATCAATAAAATAAAAATTGTGTAGTTGAGATTTTTGCAAAGAAGAGAGAATTAACTGACATCACAAATTCTTTACTTAAAAAAGAAAGTGATAAAGTTAGTGAGACATCCAAAAAAAAGAAAGTTGATAAAGTTTTAAGGAACGCAAGAAGCAACCAGTAATGTTTTTATATTTCAAATGGCTAATTTAGTGGAAAGAACATGTTTTGGATCCTTAAATTTGGGGCAAAAACAATAGCCTTTATCTTTTAAATGCGTGTGAGTGGCTGTGGGGGCAGTTTGTAAGGAGGTAGGAAGGAGAGGAAGGGAACAATTTGGATGGGAGTGGGTTGGATTCATTGAACTTGCCTTCCCCCTTCCCCACCCTTCACAAGGTTCTTCTCCCCTGCACTAACCTCCCACCCCCCTTCGCATTCATTTCTTTTTCCTCTCTCTTGCCCACTCCTAAAATACCAAAATAAGCTAAACAATCATTATCCTTGACCATATTAAAGCTAAACTAAGAGCTGGTTTGTAACTTATGTTTTTCGGCTTATTAATCTCGTCTACCGGATTTTTTATATGATGTGATGTAGGGAATGTAGCTCACCTGGTGGAATTGAAGAGAGTGCTAAAGGCTAAGTTCTGTTTTTGAATCTTACTCTCTATCCACGACTCTATGATTACGGTTTAATTTACATTCTCTTAAATACTTGGTAAAACGGTCCTGGGGCTTATGGAGATGTGTGCCTTCATATTTTTTATGCCAGACAATAAAATATGTAATAATTTCAATAGTAATGTTGAATTTGTTTTTCTATCTAAATTTATTGAATTAGCTGAACAAGAATATATTAACCATTTTTCATGTAATGTTTTCTTAAGCTAACATATCTGATCAATTTAACTAGCTTACTCATAATTTCATCCATATGAAGTGGTTCATCCAATTCAAGGCATCTAAAATAAAGAGAAAATCCCCTAAATAGTACTCCCTCCGTTCCGCTAACAATGGGACAAGAGGGAGTTACACGTAAATTAATAAAAAGTGGTTTATGTGGTTGATATTGAATTGATAAAGTAAAAATAAAGTAAGAATGATTTAAAGTCACACAAACTTTACCAAATTTAGTATGAGACAATCTTAGTGGGACGGACCGATAAGGTAAAATGGGTCAATCTTAGTGAGACGGAGGTAGTAATAAAGAAGTTTTAAAATTTGAAAATAGAACTGTCATGTTTTTATGGAGGAAAATAATTTAAATACCCCAAAGTTTGAAAAGGTGTGAGGTAAATACCCCAAACTTTCATATGTAATACGGAGTATTTATACCCTGAACTTTATATAAAAACTAATATTAGTACCATTCACATATGTTTTTTCTTTCACAATGTAAATTTATGATGCTTTAACTACATCTCTATAAATGCTTAAGTATTTTAAACCATGTGCTTAACATCATAAGTTTACATTTACGAATAAAAAGAGAAAAAGGTCAAATAAGGTCTTCTAGTATTATGAAATAGTCACATAAGACCATGTACTCAATAAAGTGTCATATAAATACATCTACTTC